AAGGAAGGAAGGAAGGAAGGAAGGAAGGAAGGAAGGAAGGAAGGAAGGAAGGAAGGAAGGAAGGAAGGAAGGAAGGAAGGAAAGAAAAAAGAAAAGAAAAGAAAAAGGAGTGTCCCCAATCAAGGATGGGGTCTCCTTCATGGGTTCTGCGGAAACTCCTTCTAAGACGATCTTTTAGGAGTACTAGGACACCAAGCCCTGGGCATTGCAAAAAGAAGTCCCTCTTGCATAAAATGGTCTAGAACAGCTTCACAGCCAGGTAGCTGGAGGGATGGGGCCCAGTTTATGCTCCCATGAGACTGAGATTAGAGTTCCACATTTTTGGGGATCTGAGACACTAATTGGGTGCAGCTTTGCTGACTGGTCAATATTTTGGAGACGATCCAAAAGTTGTCTCCCAAATAGTGGGAGATAAATTCCCAAGCCCCACTGGGTTGCAAGGGAATGTGAAGGGGCACATTTTCAGCAAGACCTGGGACACACATTCCTTCATGCTTGGCAAGGCCCTGAGCACAGATGCCATTGCCAGTTTAATTAGAGAGTCAGCAGGCGGGAGTGGGGGCCACCGTGTGACTGCATGTGCTGACTTCCACGAGCTGTAATTACAGGCGGGGTCTGCCTTAGACCGTAGATTTGTTACAGGGAGGAATTACACAAAGGGCTGTCATGAACTGGCCAGTCCTTGCTGTGTGCTTTTGAAGGACTGCCATGAACACATTCTAATGAAAAGGAAGAGCCCCTTGGAAACGCTGAGGGACTGAGCAGGGCCTCAGCATCAACCTGAATGTCTTGGGGCCCAGTGGATTGAATGTGAAATTTGGCATTTGAGAGACTCAGGTTCAAATCTAGCTCTGTTCTGTGCGTCAGATGACTCACCTCCAATGAACAAACGTATTCAGTGGATATGCCTGTTTGTGCCTTCATTTTGGGTCAATAAAATGGGGTTGATGTTAGAATGAAATGCATTAATGATTATAAAGAGGCTGACACATGGGACACAATAAATATGACTTATCTCTCCCCTCTAGGTAGTAAATGATTAAAAAGAAAATCAGCAAGACAGTTGAGAAACGTCCTTATGTTCACGCCGAGTGGTGTCTGAGAGACATGATGAGAACACATGGCTGCAGGCCCTTGTTGTTCATCTTACTGTCCCTTGGACAACTGTCCTTGGTGTGCCTGAGTGTGCCAGGAGCAGCTCTCGGCGTTTGGGACACATCAGTGGACAATTGGGCTGTTCTCTGCCTGCATGGGGCTTCTACTTCTGTGAGACAGAACATCTATGTTATATGGACTGTCCTGGGGCCATAAGGAGCAAGATTAGCGCATAGAGCAGGCAGCCAGAAAGGGGACAGGGCGGGGGGTGCTGGCTGTTGAGGGTCCCAGTTGTGCCCTGGGGAGCTGGGTTAGGCAGCATGGAGGATGGTTGAGTCCAGACTGGAGAGGGTGGGGTTCAGACACGCGGACAGCTGGGTGAGGGGGAGCAGTGAGGTCCGCGGGGTCAATGGAGTGATGAGGGCAGAGGAGCAGGGGAGAAGCCAGAAAGAACAGAGGGCTGGGTGGCTGGGAGAGCCTCACCCTACCTTTTGCTTTTTTGCTTCAGGCGGGGCCCGGGAGAAGGGCTCCCCCATTCTGGTTTGCAAATGTGATCTGCCAGAGAGCACGGAGCACAGAGCAGGCCAGGCCAGGTGTCCTTGCCTCGGCCCCAGGCACTGCAGGGCCTCAGTAAAGAGCCGACTGGCCCCTCAGCACTGCTTCCCCTGGCTCTGTCTCCTGCTGCAAACCCAAAGGCCAGCGCACTGTGCAGGCCACACTGCCCTCTCCTCAGGGAATGGCCCATCCTTGTCTTGGACTGAGGGCCCTCCTTCTCTCTGAGGCTCAGCCTTTGCTGCCCACAGCCCTGGAGCCCCTCGCTGGGCAAACCTTCCCCTGGCTCTTTCGGACCTTCAGTGTGCAGCTCGTCATGAGTCCCACCCCCACCTAGAGCTAACGTGCCTGCCTGGAGGTCCCCAACAGGAGGGTCTCCTCCATCCGCTTCATCCAGGTGCTCTCAGTCAGATGTGCACTCCAAAACTATGTCTACATGGTGGGCTCCAACTGTCCTACAGCCTCTTTACCATATGGCCGTCTGGCTGCCCCAATCTCCATCAAGGTCACTGTTGGCCTTGCAGAGATCCACCAGCAGATGCCCTATTCCCCCACCTCTCCATCTCCTCCTCCTAGTTGGCTCTGCCTCAGACTAATTTCTGGAACCCCCTTCTGCTGTATCTGCCTACTTTTGAAAGCTGAGGCTCCCAGCTGCCACTTCTGTCCCCTTTTCCTCCCCTTCTGTCCACGAAAGCTTGTGGGGTGGGGCCATTTCCTCTCCTTGCTTCAAGAATGACCAATTAAGCTAATGATTCCCAAGTCTCTCTCCAGCTTGAACCTCACACCTTCATATCCAAATGCCTCACATCACCTGGAAATCTCTCAGGCCCCTCAAACTCAACCTAGGCACAATTTAACTTTGTCATCCGTATGTGTTCTTACTCACCTCTAGAACCTTCTTCTCCCCCTATTTCCCTATCCTTAGTGACTAAGACTAGCCTTCAATTACCTGAATGAAACGCAGGTATTTCCTGATTGCTCCTACAATCATTCCCCTCTTCCCCTACATTTTGCTGTAACCTGTTCCTATGATCTTCCTCCTGAGTGCCACCTGCCCCCACCTCCAGTCCACCCCTGCTGCTGTCCTAGTTCACAACACATCTCCTCCACCACACTGGGGCAGAAGCAGAGATGCTGCTCTTGGTAGGGGCTTAGGGGAGGAAAACTTTTTACACAGACAGCCTGTAGTCAATTTTTGCTCATTGATTATGCTCCAACTTTTGAAAAATGGTTGTAACATCACAGATTTGGGAAGAAGGAGACACAGAGCAGAATCCCGATCGGAAAAGTAGGAAGCCTACCAGAGTTCACCTGCTTCTTGCAAGACTATGCGAATGGATGAGTGAATGAATAAATAAATGCCCCAGACTCCTCTAGAGCTCTGAGTCAGATGGAGACACAACACTCCTTTGTTCACTTGAGGGACGTGAATTGAAGACTAACCTAGTGCTGGACAGGAGCTAAGGATTCCAAATGGACATGACACAATTCCTGCCACGCAGCAGAGCTTGGTGAAGTCAGTGGGGACAGCTGCTAAATGAGCAAAGTGCTCTGCAAATCGTGGGTGACTGTTTGCATCCAGTGGAGAGCATCATTCAGTGGAGAGAGGGTGGGTTTGGGAAGCAATGTGAGCATGTCCTCACCTCCCCTCTTCCCCCAGCCTATTCCAATCAGCCTTTCCTTCCCATCACTCCACTGAAATGGCCCTCATCAAAGTCTCCCATGACCTACAAGAGTCGAATCTCTGCCCTCATCTCTCTTGACTCTGTGACATTTGACCTTTGCTTCCTTTTGGAAATGCTTTCTTTTCTTGGCTTTTGTGATAATCGCATTTTCTTGGTTTTCTTCCAAATCTGTATCTATAGCCCTGACCTCTCTACTGAACTCCCAACTCATATAGTCAGCTGCCAACTCAAGATACATCCCAAATCTGATCATTTCTAACTGTGACCATGTCTGCAACCCTAATTTAAGTTACTAGCTCAACCCCTGGATCTCCACAACAGAGCCCAATCTGATCTCTACTTCCTGTGTCACATCTCCATAGTCAATTTTCCATATAACTGCCAGAAATGTCCCTTTTTAAACAAGTGAATCAATATAATCACCTTCTATTATTAGCTTGAAACATTCCAGTAACTGCCCACTGCAAAGAGAATAAAGTCACTTTTCTGATGGCCTGCAAGATCTCATAACTGGTCATCTTCATCCCTCTGACTTCCTCTCTTCCCAGTCCCTCCACTGGCCACTGGGTCTCCTAGCACTGACCTCCCTGTGACCCCCAAACAGCCAGGACCACTCCTGCCCCAGGGCCTTTGCACTTGCTCTGTACCTCGATCCCCATCGCTGGCTCCCCATTGCTCAGGCCTCAGTCCAGAAGTCCCCTCCTCTGAAAAGCCTTCCCTGACTGCCCCTAAAGTATTTTCCCCATTCCATCACCTTCTCTACAATGGCCCCACTTCAGTGTTCTTCAGGGCACTTCTAAGATCTGAAATTCTTTATTTACTTACATCGTCTGTGTCCTTTCATGAGAACATGAACTCTCCGAGTCAGAGGCTTTATCTGTTTGGATTACAACTGTTCCCTCTAAAGCCTAGAGAGAGTCCAGCACACAGGAGCCTCTGAATAAATCTGTGTTGGAGAGATGTTGCATGGATTAATGCTTGAATGATTCCTGACTTCACTGCTCTTTATGGTGTTAAGGGACAAGGGCTTACTTCTCCATCAAGGACAGCTGGCTCAGGGGCAAGGGCTCACTGCACTTTTAGGAACTCACAGAAGTATTTTCCTTCTAATTTCTTTTAAAATCAGAAGAAAAAAACATAATAATAATGAAAGTATAATAATGAATCTAGCCTGGTTTACATTCTTCTTTATACCAATGCAGTCATGAAATACAATATTTTATTATTTTGGGGGGTACAAGTCAATCCTTCTGATCCTCAGCTTTCTCTGAACCGTAATCCCAGCTCACAGGGTCCCTGGGGAGAATCAGACAAGGTGGCATGTAAGCGTCAGCTGTGAGGGGTAATGTGGGGTTACGGCTCCAGGGTGGAGGGTTTACAGTGTGCGAGGGCAGCCTAGAGCCATGAGACCTACAGGGCTCTCTGGGTGTTGGGAGATACCTCTTTCACTTCTTATAACACTGCAAGAGACAGACAGGCTGGGTCTCACTGTGTCCATTCGAAGGCTAAAAAACTGCAGCTCAGACCAGTTCAGCAACTCTCCTACATCACGTGGCTAAAGCTAAGAATTGTGACCCATTTTTCTGAATCCAGGTCCCCGCGATGCCCTGGGTTCAGACCCTAACACCCTCCCATCCCTGAGTGCTGGGAATTTAAGGCAGCAGTGCCTCCTTTCAGGAAATCACACACACACTGGAAACTCCTGCATGCTCCTCTTACTATAATCTGTCACCAAAGGCTGGATATTCCTGTGCTGGGGCTTGTGCCAGCGCCTTGGGCTGCCAGGTGCTGCTTTCCAACTCCCACATGGGCTGCCCTCCCCCCACTGCTCCTCACAGGGCCCCCACTCCACCTGCTCCCAGACGAGGCCGACTCCTGGCCAAGCTCAGGGGCACAGCGGAGGCGCTCTGTTTCTGATTTTTCTCGCCTTCCTTGGAGATGCCTGTGCTTGGAAGGGAAGGCAGAACATTGCATCTTGGAACAAATCTGCTTTTGATCATGCAAATGAATGCCTGGTTAATGTAGGCAGACTGTCAATTTCACCAGTTAGAAAGAAAGAGAAAAGGGGGGGAAATTCCTCATGACAGCACCCGATGAAGAATTTCAATAGAAAGCTGCTACTTCAGAAAATAAGATCATTTGCCGCGAATGGAGAACATCTCAGGCAGCCCTGATGCTCCACCGGTAGGTTGCTAACTTTGCTGGGTGTCATTAGGACTCCCTGGGTGGGCCATAGGTGGCTTTGGGTGGTATGTGGGGGAGGGTCTTCAGAGGGACTTGACGGATCCCGTACCCACCCTCTGTCTTTGGTCTGAAGGAAATGGGTGGGTCTCTGCTGAGGTGGTGGGTGGCTCCAGGGGGCAGGACTTGGGGTAAGAGGCTCCACTCCCGTCCCACTGTGACTTCCCTGGGAAGCTGCACTGCATGTGTTTGTGAACTGGGATCCAGCTGATACTTATGCAGCTTTGGCATGAGTAGAGAGCATGCATTTGTGTTTACTACAATTTGGAAAATCGGTTTCAGGTCAGCTGAGGTGGTTCAGAGATTGGACATTCTCTGTATTCCTGTTTTCTGTGTATAATTATCTGAAGAAGGGATAACAGCTTGGGACACAATCTTAATATTAAAATTAAAAAATTAAGTGAAAAAAAGAACATTTATTGAAGTCAAACTATTTTCCAGATATTGGTGTATATTTGAATTCTTGGACATCTTTATGAGGATATTTACTAACCATCTCCTAACTTTACAGTTAGGGAAACTAAGGGTCGGACTCTGGGTAACTTGGATGCTCATGATTGCAATCCAAGGACACCCAGGACACTCTCCCTGCTTTGTTGACAGATGACCGAGGGAGCAGGGTCCTGGTCAGTTCCTGACTGTTGTGTCACTCCAGCTGACAGTGCTGCTATGGGGCCCAACGGCACCTGATCCCTACCTCCTGAGGTCTTGGAACAGACGTCCATCTCTCCATATAGTATGTATCAACGGTGTTTCAGTTATTTGCCTTGTCTGTTATCTGACTGCAAGCCCTTCTGAGGGGAGGAATTCAATTTGTATTTTGTGCTGAAACACCTGGCCCAGCATGACTAAACAAACAGGTGCTGGTGTTACAAAAACATGCTGAACACCCTGTTTATGTGGATGTGGCAGTTTGCTGCAATTGATATGTCCTGTTTCTCAGCCCCAGATGGGGCAGGAGGGACTGGGTGGGTATCAAAGGACAAAGGGTGGAGTAAAAGGCATGGCTGAGATTGAGGTCCTCCAGAACCTGCCATCTTCAGGTCTCCTTGGCTGACGGTGGTTGGACCCAAGTGCCATGGAGCCTTCTTGGGGGAAACAGAGAAATGCACAAGTCTAACTCTAAATTCAGGTTGGGAGTGGGCTGAGATAAGGGAGGGCAATGCAAAGGCACATTGGGTTGAAGTCCAGAAGGAGTTTCCTCATTGTTGGAAGGGTGGGACCATAGCTCGTAGCTCAGTTTCCACTTGGTTGTCCACTGTGCCCTCTTGCACTGCTGTGTGGGGCAGAATCCTGAGGATCTCTCTGGGTGATGCTTGCATATGGTAGGGATAAGGTGGTGCTAGTGCATCCCTGATCTAGTGTTTAGCACAGATAGAGTCACGGGTAGATCCCGCCACCTGCCACCCCCGTCCCTCCCCCACCCTGCAATTGGGGTCAGAGGCCTGCAGTGGAGACTTGGCTTTCCAAAGGACTAGTTAACTGACCTACAGACATCTGGTAAACCCATTAAGCCTTTCTTTCCCAGGAAAAAAGAATGGTGTAAAATACTGGTTCATGGTTCCCTACCTCACAGCCATACAGTTGAAATAAAGTAAAGTAAGAGCATGAGTTACTTCACTTAGGCTAACCCCCAAGGCTATTGAAATTTTAAAATTATAAATAAATTAATAAATGACTATAGAAAAAAAAGAATGTGGGTAGAATTGGAAAGCCCTTATTCTAGCTGGGTTTGTGTACATTTCAGTACCCAGCACACCATTGATGGTAGACAGAAGGCTCTTGGAGGAAAGCCTGGCTTTTCCCAGAGTGCTGTCATGGGAAGAGGATACTTTGGAGGCAGATAGACCTGGGTTTTAATTCTGGCTTCTCTCTGAAAAATAGCAATAATAATCCTCACCTCATAGGCTAATAGTTTTGAGGGTGATTATTTCATTGAATACTTCTGGGTTAGGGTCCAGCACATAGTCAGTTCTTCATAATTTCATTCATTCATCCTAGTGAATGTTTACTGTGTGCCTGTTGTGTGCGACATGTCTAGCAGAACTAGACACATTTCTAGGCACCAGAGATATAGCAGTTTCAAACATTCTAGTTGGGGAAGAAAGACAATAGACAAATACATAATATGGCAGGAGGTCTGAGTGCTGGGGTAGGGTGCAGGATGTAGGGATAGAGAAGGCTGGGGATATGGCTTCCCTCTGAATCCAAGTGGTCAAGCAAGGTCTTTCTGATAAGCAGACCTTGAAGGAAGTAAGGCAGTGAGTTATCTGGGAAGAACATTCAAGAAGAAAAAACAGCAAATACCAGGACCCTGATGTGGGATGTGCTCAGCCTATTTGAGAAACTCTAAACAGACAAACCAGTGAGCCAGGAGGGAACAGCAGGAGTTAAGGTCAGAGAGTTAACAGGGGTCACATCAAATAGGCTCTGGCAGTTAACAGAAGACTGGATTTTTCCTCTGCATGAGAGGAGGCCACTGGAGAGAAGGCTTGGAGCAGAGGAGTAAAATGGTCTGACTTATAAAGGGATTGCTCTGGCTACTGTGCTTCTCATAGATTACAAGAGGCAAGGCAGGTGCAGAGAGACAGTTGGGGGCTACCACAAATATCTCAAATAAAATGGCTGGATCAGGGTGATAGTAGAAGAGGTAGGGGAGAGGGGCTTGGATTTGGGATACAGTTTGAAAATACAGCCAAATGGATTTGCTGATAGAATGCTGGTAGGATATGAGAGAGCAGTGTCAGGAATGACTTTTGGTTTTGAGCCTGAGTACAGAAGGATGAGTTGTTTAGTTGCCAAGTTGTTTACTGAGATGGTGAAGACTACAGAAGAACATGCTGGTTGGGGATGGGAGCAGAGGTGGAATTGGCAGTCCACTTTGGGTGTGTTATGGATGAGACACTATGAGATGTGTAAGTGAAGATGTCAAGTGGGCCATTGGCTAAACCAGTTTAGAGTTCAAAGGAAAAGTCCAGGAGGAATAAATCTGGGTGCAGACACATGTTTAGGAGATGACCACATGCAGTGTCACTGAGCTGTGAGCTGGCTTCCAGTCCCACTGTCACGACTCTCCTCCTGCAGGCAGTCCTCCTCACCAATCAGCACCTAGATGAGTTCTTGGTAGGATGCAGGCTCACAAAATTGCTCAGTGGCTTCACTAACGCATGTCCCAAGGGAATGAATGAAAAAGTGAAGTCCGAAAGGAACTGTCTAACCAATGAACAAATGTGCTAGGGGAACACTGCCCTGTGGTTGGTATCTGGGATGACCGCCATGGAGCAGGGCTAGGAGCTGCTCTGCTGTGCCCTTAGAGAGGTTTCTCTATTTGGGGGTACCCTACTTCAGTGCTGACTTCTCCAGTCAGGGCCCTGTTTGGCAGTAAGCCTCCTGCTGGTGGCCCCATCTTTCTTTGCCAGTGAGCAAAGTAAGTTTTCCTTAAAAACCTTAGAGGGAAACTCAATGAGAAGAATGCAAATGCATCCTTGAGTAGAGATCCCAGTCCTCTGGATTAAGGTCCCTGGCTGGACTGGTTAAGGAATTCAGGACAAAATTAGGAAACTTCCAGACACTCCTGGGACTGTGCTTGAACCAGAGAAGCCCAAGGCAGCCATGAGCCCCCAGTCATCTCTCTCACAGTGAAAGGGTATAATCAGAAAACATGAGCCTGAGCTACCCTCTGAACACCATGGCCCCAGATCTGCCAATAAGAACCACCCCCTCACCCTCCCTGATGGATGGCATTTCCACTGCATTGGGAGAGGTCTGGGAACTAACCACAGGGCCTCTCTCCTCCCTAAGTCCATCAGCCCTTTCTAAACTGATCCCAAGATTCCTGGGAATATAAAAGTAGTTCTTCCTCTCTTTCAAAAGTCGAAGATGGCCATGAAAAGTTTTCAGCACATGGACCAAAGAACCAGAGCTGTGAGGAAACAATGTCTTCTGCACAGAGACTGTGCATTCCTTGTATGAGGGTATCAAATAAAGAGGTGAGTGGGAAAGAGTCCCCGGTCAATGGCCAGCTCCATCCCCGTCTGCTCATGCCTCAGAGTACTGTCTCCAGGGCAGGGAGTGTTTAGGGCAGCAAAGGAATACTAAGATTAGAACTTCCATTTCTTTCTCTTGCTTTAACATTCTTTTGATTCAATAAAGCGTTCATAATAATTCAGTGTATTAGTACAGGAATACACATGTATATAATTTATACTTAAATAAATAAACTTACTATTTCTTAACTGATGAGGGGCTTGATCAGAAGCAACTTGAAGATCCCTGTTTTAGAGACTACAAACTCTGAGGCAGTGGAGGAGAGTGGCACATTTTCAGTGATTCCTGAATGGTTGTCTTGTCCAATAATAAAGTCTCAGCCCCTCAGGGTAAAGGCTATACTGCATATGAGTGCTTGGCAGAAAAAATGGTGAAATGGTTCAGGTATAAAAGGTATTTCTCCCTGGCTGTGAGTTAGTTAGATGAAAGCTGAGGGTGACTAAGTTTTACTTGACACCACCCCCTCGCAACACACACACACACTCACACATACACCCTCAGAGAGAACTCTATCACTGCTCACATGCCACACCCGCCTTCCAGATAGGAACCTTCAGAAATCAACTTCATATGCAAACCTCACCAACCCTGCTTCTTTCTCTCTCTCTCTACATACACATGCACACATAAATATATATAATATGTAACATATTATGCATGTGTGTATATATACAGCAACAGTAATTATTCATAATACTCTTTCTCCAGAGGTAGCCAATGTTAACTGCATGTTGTGAATCTTTTCACTGTGTTATCCTTCTATGCAGAAAAACATACAAATACACACATTTCCAAATATAAAGATACATACAGGTGGGTTTTTAAAAATATGAATGCTATCTTAATTTCACATTCCTCTACATATTTTTTTGTCATTTTACAATGTGTCACAGGCTTCCCTTAAGTCAGTAGAGATAAATCTAGCTCATTCTTTTCAACATCTGCATAATATTTAATAGCTTGTTTGCATCTTAATTTAGTCAACCATTTCCCTATTAATGGACACTTGAGTTGCTTCCAATTTTTTGCCACAAAAATCAATGCCACAATCAATCAATAAACAATGCAATGCGATAAATACTCTTGTATATATATCATGTAAAACTAGAGCTTTTATTGCTGTAGGATAGAGTCCCCAAGGTGAAATATATTACCCAAAGGAAACAGGATTATCCAAAGGAACTCAGGATCCTGTTAGGTTGTGATCATGATTTAATAAAATCCTGATTAGACTACCTTATATTCAACAAAGCCAACAGAGACCTACATTGTACATGTGCAGGGAAAGGTGCACTCCACCTACGCCCAGAGTTGTCCTCTCTCTGTGCTTTATGCACACTGGGCTTCCCCTCCTCAGGCTTGACCACCTACAAGGCTTTGGCCAAGAGTAGCTTGTCCAAGGCAGGGTGAGGTGGGCAGAGGAGCATGTGATCATGTCTCTTCCAGGGTTAGCCACATCCTAGTGAGTGACTGTGACCGCTGGTGAGAGCAGGAACTATGCATTCAAGCAGAATGCAGACCTCACAGCTCACTCCCACTTCGCTGTGCCTCCAGCAAGCTGCACAAAGCTGCGTGTTTGCCAGGTGCATGGTGCATGCTCTCTTTACTAAGAAATTCAACTTGGAAGGCTGGTGCTTCAGTGTCTTTTTCAGGATTGGGAAAGGGTGATGATTTAACAAGAGTCCCTTC